TCGTTATTTTTTTGCAAACTTTGTTATGGTGTTTGGTTTAATTCCTAATTTCTGTCCAGACTTTATGTGCTACTACTTTATGTTTCGTATCAATCTTATGTATTAATCTTGTTATTGTATTGGCTTTTCTCTTGATTTCATGTTTGTTATATTGTTAATCCGTCAAGACTTTATACCTCTCGTTTTCTTTTTGATGTTGTCAAAGGGGGAGGAAAGCGTCAACCACCACAACTGCTTTGACTGAAAAAGAAAGGGGGAGAGCGTAGACATCGCATGTTGTGTTCAACAGGTTGTCATCATCAAAAAGGGGGAGAATGTGAGGGCAAGCTGTCTCACAATACAGGCCTCCGAGTTTTTCGATGATGACAAAACAAATTAGAAGCATCATGCTATATCTCTGTTTTCATTGCCATACCTCTTGTTTCGGTGTTAAATCGTTATACCCTAATATGTGTCATTACTGAATGTAGCAGGATATGCAAAATGGAAAAAGCTGTTAATTTTGCAGGTTTCTAAGCAGTGAGTCGACCATACAGTCAGCGCATGAAGCCTGACATTTCTCACGGCTCAGCGCATGGAAGCTATGCGTCGACCGTACAGTCGGCGCATGAGTGTTTTGATTTTCCACGGTTCAGCGCATAAAGACATGCGTCGACCGTGCCACTCAGCGCATGGTGCTGAGGATTACCCACGGGTCAGCGCACGCCGACCCTATGGTCGACCGTTCGCGCGCTGTGCTGTTTTTCTTGCTGTGTTTAAAAATCTGTTTTGTTGGCTGTTTTGGTTATTACTATAAATAGAGTTTTGTTCATTTTTTTTAAAAACTAACAATTGAAATCTTGAGTAAATTGTCAGGGCAAGAAACGTGAAATAGGTGCAACAAATTTCTTCATCTTCATCCCTCACACAACACACAAATCCACAAATATACACAATCATTTTTGCTGTGATTAGTGTCTTGTTCAAAGGGTGATAAGGTTCGAACGCGTTGATTGAAGATCCGGTTCGAGTGGAAATTGGGGCAGGTGTTTCTTGCAGAAAACCTTGAGGGTTTTACCCATCAAGACTAGAAGGTTTTGAGGGTTTTTGTCACGGAATAGTTCGTTCAATATTCAAGCAGGTGCGAAGGTAATTGATCAACGGAAGGTTCATCAATTTAGTAGCAAGGGCGTTGAAGTGTTGAAGACTTTCCGGGTTTGATTTGTTGGTGTCTAAGATCAGCCGAGCCAAAGGTTTGAACAACGGAAGGTTTTTCATTAAGGTGGCTGGAACCGAAGGTCATTCACAACAAATTGAAGGGCTTGATTCATCTTGAATCAAGGTGCAAGAAGAGATAGCAAGCATCAACAACATTTGAGATTGTTTGTATCATTGTCTATCAACTCTTGTGTAAACTGTTCATTCCAACAGGTGATATATATTCAATATAATCTCAATTCTAATTTTAGAATTGAGGGCATACGTACCCCGAAGCGAGGACGACGGGGGAACTGCCTCATCAAATCGTGTGTTCTTCATTTTCTGTCATTTTCAATTCAGCTTATAAAATAAGTGATTCTAGCTTAAGTGATTATTGTCAAACTGTGATACTAATTGAGTAAGGTGTTGAAACTCTGTTTTAACTACTAAGTACAATAAGAATATTGTACTAAGGCATTTCCAATCTCTTACTCAACATAAATATCCTTTGTGATATTTGTGCACACAAACTGTTCGACAAAAGTCCTGAACTAAAATTGTCTTATTTTGCTTCTAGTTTTTGTGTGCTCTGTTTTTCATTGCAACTAGGTAACCTTGCAAATTGAAGTAAATAATTGATAAACATAGTTTGTGTTGTGATTTTATTTTTTCCGAATTGTCATAAATCCATAGGCTTACGTATATCCGGTTTTCCAATAACCGTTCGTTTTAGACTATAATTTTCCTCGGCCGCTTCCGCACTTAAAACATTTTAAAAACCAATTTTAAATTGGTAGCGCCGACTCAAATTTTAATCGGGGATCTATTCAACCCCCCTTCTAGATCCGTGCCATAGTCTAACACACCCGAGGGACTCGTTTGAATGAGGAGAGACAGTTAGGCATAATCACTACCATTTTCAAGCCGTTATGCTTAAGGGGATGTGTATTGGTATATATGTAAAAGGTCTACAAGAGGTGGCATAGGAAATTCTCGAAGGAAAGGCGACATAATACATCACCCCTGGTCGCCCATTTATTGGAATGAGTGACTTTCGTTTAGTTGTGACACCCATTTCCTAAATCACCTGCCTTTTATGAAAATGTAGGTGACGTGTCCTTATCCATAACTGTAAGAGGGAGGAAGTCAAAAGGGGAAAACATATTCTCCTTTAAAATAGGAGAATTAACTACACACGCTTTTGAGAGCGAGTGTTACTCTATAGGAGTCTAAGATCTAGACTAAAGGATTTCTATAAATAACTCAACTCTGAGGTTGAGGGTTATATTCTATTCACCCATAAACACCAGCATACGAAACTTCTCACCACCCTTGAGTGAGCTTGTTTTAACATCACAACAATCCTAAAAAAAACCTTTTACAAACCTACAACATAAGGGGTTGTCCTGCATCTTTACTTTTAGTAAGTACAACAATGTATACAAGCTTCCTAAATGACCAGGACCATTCTTGATCAATCCCACAAACACCTTGATAGTTTTTCTATAGGTTTAAGGTGTTCTAAAAATTTTAGATATGTTTAAAACACTTTTAGGTGAGTGTGTGTATTGCCTTAGTAATTTAAGAATTACTCTAATATCTTTACAATACTTTGATCACTCAGACATATACCATGTGAGCTTTCACACTTCCTCTTATTCACAATTTTTGAAGCTTCAAGATTGCTTGTTTGGTTCATCATAGATTCAACACTTAATCTAGGATTTAATTTATTTTAACTGATGAAGCTTGATAGAGTTTCTTGATAGATACATCACCAGAGATTGCTTGACAAAGATCATCTGGAATTCCACTGAGTGTCACTTGATATTAGGTGTTATCCTTAAGAGATTGGCTTTGACATCTTGATCTCACAAGCATAACATATTGATCATCTTGATCATTATTTCAGATGAAGACTTCATATCATAGTGTTGTCATCATCAAAACCATTGAGAATATATGACTGTTGCAGACATTGTACCTTCAAGCATATAGATCTACAAGACTTAGTATCTCGTCTGCCTAATGTTAATATTATTCAAATTTTATGGATTTTTAGGCATGAAAAGAAATCTGATGGGTCCTTTGAGAGGTACAAAACTCGATTTGTAGGTAATGAGCCAATCAATAAAATGGTATTGATTTTGGTGAGGCTTTTAGTCCCGTAGGAAAACCATCCACTATTCAGATGATACTCAGTGTTACTTTATTAAAATTATGGGGTATTCATCAATTAGATGTTAAGAATGCCTTTTTGCATGGTAATATTGATGAAACTGTCTACATGCATCAACCACCAGGTTTCTATAATCCTCAACATCCTTATTATGTATGCTTGCTCGGGAAGTCACTCTATGGACTTAAGCAAGCACCTCATGATTGCTATCAACGATTTACTGACTATGTTGATACCTTAAGTTTCTCTCACAACATCTCCGATCATTCCTTATTCATCTAGAACCGAGGTAATAATATAGCTTATATTCTTCTCTATGTGGATGACACAATTCTAGTTGTCTCCTCATATTTTCTTTGTCAATCCATCATGACTAAACTCAAATCTGAATTTTCTATGAAAGATTTAGGTCATCTTAGTTTTTTTCTCAGTATTTCTGTTACCAAACACACAAAAAGTCTTTTTGTATCACAAAAAAAATATGTTGAGGAAATTATTGAGCGTGCGGGTATGTCTTCTTGCAAATCATTTGTTATATGGGTGGACACATAAGACAAACTAAGTAGATCTTTTGAAAGTCCATGTCATGATCACACTAAGTATCGTAGTCTTGTGGGTTCACTTCGATACTTGAGTTTAACAAGACTCAATATTACTTATATCGTGGGGACAATCTAGATATTGAGTATATCTTGGAGACAATCTTATCTCTTGATATGCCAAATGACAACTTATATTATCTCGTTCCATAACTGATCTAAATATCATAGAGTCGCTAATGTAGTATATTTGAGTCATGTTGGCTTAGGAATATTCTTTTGGAACTACATTGCCATGTGTCCAATGCATCATTAGTCTATTATAATTAATGTATGTCATGTGTCTCTCTGACAATCATGTTCAACATCAACGTGCTAAACATATTGAGATGGATGTTAATTTTGTGCATGATAAAATTATTTGTGGCCAAATTTGTGTGTTACATGACCCTTCACGATATCAAATAGTCAACATCTTCACTAAGGATTTTCAGGGACAACTCTTTGACGATTTTCAACTTAATTTCAACATTCGATAACCTCTAATTTCAATATCTTTTATATTTAACCAATATCTTTTATATTCGATATATACTCATTCATATTTACTTAACAAATTAATCTCATTAATTAAGAGATTGCCGTTACAATTTAATTATGTCGCAATAGTTGAAATACTCTTTTATTTATATAAATTTATTACACAACCGTATAAATAAATAACACTAAAAGCACAGGTATTATGTTGCTACCAAGCACTCAAACAATAGACTAAACTAAACAAATAAAGATAGTAATAAATTGAAGGGACAAATGTCTTATTTTTACTCTTCTAATTTGAACTAAATGAAAAAGAAAGATACATAATAGTGACAGCAATGTTGCAATCAACCACCAAATACGTGTAGAGGATAACACACGGTTGGAGCATGTTGCATGATTCACATATACGACAAAACAAACCATTTATGTCCTCTACAGAAGAATGTATGTTTTAATTAATAGATAAATCATATCTGTTGCATACCCACACCACACATATAAATACATACACAATTAAATTGAAACCTATACACATCAAAAATAAAATATTAACAAATACATCAAGCCACAAGCCACATGAAAAAAGTTGACCAAAGAGTAACCGCAATTGATGCCAATGCATAGGTCCACAACATTATCACAGAACATTCACTTTCACCAGCTCCAAATAATTGAGCTATAGTGCCTGAAATTAGTTTGAATAATTATATAAAATGAAAAACACTTTATACAAGTTTATTTATTTATTATTATTATTATTATTATTATACCTATACTCATAGCTGGTGGAAGTGCATATTGGAGAAGAAGAATGAACTGATATAAAGGATCAACTTGCACCAAACCCAAATGTGTTGCACCTTTAACAATTCCAACACCAAAAATTGGTAGCATAATATATCTCACTGCTATGATTCCTATAATTGTCCAAAATGGAGTACTTGCTCCCTTCAATCCTTTAAGAAGGTTAGCACCCATTATAAGTGTTATTGTTGGAATTGCAGCATCACTGCATGTAACAATTAATAGCATAGTATGTAACCTTATGTAATAATTTTTCAAAATCTTGAAGATGAAAATTGAGATGTATATATACCCTAACATGGAAGCTGAGTCTTCAATTACATGAAGAGGAGCATTGCCTCCAATCATTAAACTATGTAACTGAGGGACTACACCAATAGTAAATCCAACAATCTGCATAAACAAAATTTTAATCTTAATCTTTCGTTTCTGAATTCTTATGCATATGAATAATAACATATGAACAAACAAAGTATCATACCGCGCCAAGTGTTGCCGGTGAAAATATGCCTCTGAAATTTGGATTGCTCAACAAATTTCCACATTTATGCTTAATTTTATCTAAGATATGCACCTGCAATTACATTTATAGTAATTCGAAAAAATCAAACATAAAAAGACTCAATATCTTATGAAACAAAAATTTATAGCAACCTTCACCTTATGCTCAGATTCATTCTTACAAAGCAATTGTCTGTATGCATCATCCACATTGCCTTTTGCTGAATTTATACTTTCTGAGCATCCCTCTATAAGTGATTCTGATACATCCTCTGAGTTCGCCAATGCGATGGACTTACTACTTTCGTTACCTTCTTTCTGAACTTTACTCGACGAAATCCGCATTATGTTGTACACATAAGTCCATATAAAAACAGCTCCAATCTATAGTTTCCCAAAAAAATTAATAAATACAAGTTCAGAAAATAAATAATAAATTTTTGATAGCATAAGGTACTAATGAAGTTACATACTGCCATAGAAAGTGAAGCATAAGCCATTCCATATTGATAGCAGACATCAGAATCTCCAAAAGGACTACCTTTGTCTTTACATATTGCTGGAATAATAATTATTGGCAAGTTTCCTAAGTTTCCTGTTCACATATCAATCTTACAATAAGCTCAATCAAAGATGCACCGAGCAATAATCTATTCTTAAGAATGTGTGGTTGGATCTAACTCAACCCTATAAAACTGGTATGTAAGATGAGGGTTGTCTTCACCTGCAGAACAAACACCTACTATGAGACCTTCGCTATTTTTCGGAGGCCTTGTGAGTTTAATAATGATCCATCCTAAGGCCGAGCCTAACAAAAATGTAACCAATATATTCACCGGCATGAACCACCTAATAATCACAATCAAAAAGTATTAAAACTTAGAACAATAATCAAGAAATCAAATCCTCAAATAAAAATTAGCAGCAAAATATGTAACCACTCACAACAAAACAACATTCTCATAAGTGATTGTTGCTGCCAAATTCCCACCCACCAAAGCAGGATTAAACACATAATGTACAAGCTGAAACAGATGAACTATTGGTGTCAATATATAAATAGAAAAAAAAATATAACAAGAAAAAAAAAGTTGTTAAGAATTTATACATGATTGGTTTGATTCCTTGCGTCTTTTCCCAACAAATTTATGTTATCCAATGCAAGAAGTAAACCAATTGCAGTGAGTAGTAGAACTTTGATGACAGGGAAAGAAGCAACAGAAAATAGCTCCAGAAATCCCATTATCACAATGAATGAACTCTTCCAAAACTATATGCTAATTTATTTTTCCTACACAAATTAAAAAAATATTTTAATTGACAAACTTGGAGGTATAATAATATTGTTCATAGTGAAATAGTAAAATAAATATGAACCAAGTTATTCATCCTAATCAGATTAGGCACAGAGAAAACGAGGTGGAACTAAAAATAAAATAAAGTATCAATAATTATGCAACTAAAATGAGTTGAATTGAGAAAGGCAAAGTGAAGTGAATCAGTATATATTATTTTAATTCTCACTTGCATAATTATTGGCGTGTTGAAATTAAGCATAGAACAATATTACGTACCGAATCTTGTGGGTTGTATGTTGCAGCTTTTGTGGATTGTCTTGTTGTTTTTTTTGATGATTGAAGTGAGGCTATAAAATAAGCAGTGAAGGTGGCAACTGTTATGGGTGGTGGAGAGTATTTGTGATATAATATTTAAGAAATTTATATGATATATAAATTATTGAAGACATAAATAGTTTTTATAGTTTAGGTAAATCAGCGTGTTTTGAAATTTGATCTCTAATTTTTTTTTTTTTTTGTTAGACTTCTTATATTTGATTTTTTTATTGAGTTAGTCTTTAACGTTAGAAAAGTCTATTAAAAAAATGTTAGAGATGTCTATAACGTTATTGACATGGTAATAAATTTATATGTTTTTTTGTTTAATAAATTACACACATGGTCATTAAAATATTCCCACAAAAAATTTCACTATGATCAGAATTATTTTTTATTTTTAGTCCCTGTAAATTAGGATTTTGTCTATTGCGAGAAAAAATAAACTGTGACATTGTGGGAGGAAGGCGACGAACGAAGACGGCGAGAAGCTCTGTTGCATGGCCAACTAACGTAACTTCATCAGATTCAAGCAAGATTCAGTAAGTGATGACCTTCAATTTGATTTTTCATTACAGGTTTAGATTTTTTAGGGATTGTATAGTATATTACACGGGGGACATGAGCATGAAGTAGAAATTGATCCAGACAGATAAAGCTTATTTGAAGCAACTGCTATTGTGAATGAGATAACTGAACTTGAACATTCAGAATATAAATTATGGTGGTATAACAATGATGCTGACAGGTACAGTAGAATGGTTAGTGACAGTGATACTGAAAAGATATATTAATATGCCATGGAAATGAAAAGTGCAGTGCACATGTATGTTGAGCATATAAGTAATGTTCAAGAAGTTGAAGTTGGTGATGTTCAAGAAGAAGATATAGGGGATGCTTAAGAAGATGAAGTAGATGATGTTCATACAGATGATGTAGGTGATGTTAATACAGAGGATGTATGTGATGTTCTAGAAGATGAAAATGAGGATAGTGGTTGTAGTGAGGATAGTAACTTTGAAGTTGATGGTTTATCATTTGATGATAGTGAGGATGAGAGAGCTCTTGGGTTGAATGATTGCTTTGAAGAGCTTGACAACAGTGACCTTGATGCTTCTAATGAAGAGAAGGATCCAAAATATCTAAGGTTTAAGATGGAGGATTTGGACAAAAATTACAAGTTCATAGTGAGATTGGAGTTTATATCACTTGATGAATTTAAAGAAGGCATTATTGAATGGTCAATGCTTAATGGTAGAAAGATAAAGTAAGTGAAAAATAACAAAGTTAAAGTGAGAATAATTTGCAAGGGCAAATATGAGTTTTTGGCACTAGTAAGTAAATTTGAGAATATGCACACATATAGGATGAAGAGATGGGTTGAAACTCACACGTGTGGCAGGATATTGAATAATAGTTCAGTCAATTCCAAGTGGGTAGCTAAAATTTTGGAGGCTAGAATGACACCTTCTAATGGTGTTAAGATTCTGGATATTATTTATGAGATTAGGAGTAACTTTTCTATTGGCATAACTATGATCAGGGCATGGAAGGCCAAACAACTTGCAAAAGCTTTGATTGAAGGTGATGTTGTGAAACAATACAACCTTTTGTGGAGATACTTTGTAGAGTTAAAGAGAGTCAATTATGTGAACACTTGTAAAATTAATGTGTCAAGGGTTGAAGCAACAATACAACCAAGGTTTGCCTGTTTTTACTTTTGCTTTGATGGTCTTAAAAAGGGATTCACAACATCTTGCAGGCTATTCATTATGAAACAGGGATGAAATATAAACAAATCATTATGAAACGGGGATGAATTAGAATGCAAATTGGTGCAGCGACCTTAACACCAATGTAATGAGGATGTTCATCTCAAAATAATATACGTACCGAATGTGCAGCGACCTTAACACCAATGGATGAATGTGCAGTGACCTTAACACCAATGTTGTCTGGAGAGGAAGAATTTGGAGAATATGATTTGAAGAGAGGAAGAAGATGATGCAAATAATATACATTTTTAGATTTAATCCTCTTTTTAACCCTCATCCACTAAGTGTTTCACATGTGTAATTTATTAAACAAAAGAACATATAAATTCATTTTCACGTCAGCAACGTTAAACATCTCAGCATTTTTTTTACAGACTTCTAACGCTAGAGATTAACTCAATAAAAAAAGTGAGATATAGAGACTCTGAAAAAAATAATTTAAGGACCGAATTGAAAAACACGCTAACTTACGGGGACCTATATACCATTTAAATCATTTTTAAAGCTAAATTAGAATTTTGAGAACGAGTTTTTGATTTCTATTGTGATTGTCTCCAACTCGAAAAATTAATCTTTGTTGAGCGTACTGATTAAAAAAAACACATTTGAATAACTAGAAAATAGAACACATTTTTTTTCATATTTAGATCAATAATTTCTTTTTTTGATTTAGATCAATAATTTTTTTTTGATTTAGATCAATAACTCATTAACACATATTTTTCTCTTATTTGAATTAATAGTACATTTTACCCGTATACTTTCTTATATTTATACAAATAACACACATTTCTACAATTATTATTTTAATCATATATACTAGCGTCCAGACGGGCACTCACGTGCCCGTCTGTCCGCTTTTTATAATACTCACGCGTGTAAAATATAAATTATATTATTATTTTTAATTAATTTTTAATTAAATTTTATTTTATTTTTTATTATTTAAAATAATAATGACATAAAAGATAATAAACCATCACATAACCACCATTTGTTAACAAGAGAAGTTAAAATTTAAAATAAAAACTGAAAAAAGTATATTTGGAAGAAAAAAAAGCTACACCAAAATCATGTTTTTCCTTTATATATACTAGCGTCCAGCACTCGCGTGCCCGTCTGTCCGTTTTTTTATTGCACACACGTATAAATATAAATTATATTTTAGTAGATAATGGCATAAAAGATAATAAACCATCACATAACCACCATTTGTTAACAAGAGAAGTTAAAATTTAAAATAAAAACTGAAAAGAGTATATTTGAAAGAAAAAAAAAGCTGCACCAAAATCATGTTTTTCCTTTATATATACTAGCGTCCAAACGGGCACGGTTTGTCCGCTTTTTTATTGCGCTAACGCGCAAAAATATTAACAACGTATTTTTTTATGTATGACAAACTCCTCTCTTATATTTCAATTTATCCAAAATAATGTAATTTAGTAGTCAAAATATATTAATGTTGTTTTACTCTCTTTTATATGACATTTTCGTTCTTCTTCCACCTCCCTCCGTTGTGTTTCTTCTTCTTCTTCCTTAAACGCTCTGTACCTTCTTCTTCCGCCGTCCCTTCGTCGTTTCTTTCCACCGTTTGTCCGCTTTTTTTAATTGACACACATATTAAAATATAAACAGATATTTTTTAATCTAATGTTGTTTTTAATATAAATTATTTTTAATATAAACTTTGTGATATATTTCTTTCATGTGTATTTATATGTTTTTTTAAAAGCGTACGCGCAACAAATTCTAAAATATTTTATTTTCTTAGTTTTTGTTTTAAATTAAATAAGTTGGCAACTTAAATCTCAAATTAGTAAGTATGACCTCTCTCAACAAAAAAAAATTAGTATATAAGAATTATTAAAAACCATGTAGAATAACTAATCTACATAACACAAAATAAAATAAAAATAAATCACGAATATTTTATTTGATGAGAATGTAAGTGGCTGAGTAAAACTACAATTTTCTATTTTACAAATAACTATTATTGTCTCAATTGACAATTATTATGTTTGAGAAAGTTATATGAAAAAAAATAAAATTTCATTGATTAAAAAATAAACAACCAAGAGATTGATTGAGAACATAATTAAACATAAAATTTAACTAATTAATTTAAATTAGGAAAAATGTGAGATATATAAAAATTAAGTAAAAGAATTTAAATTTTTTTTTGGAATTTTTATTTTTGTTTCAATTTAATTAAAAGGCGTGAGAGGATATTTAAAAAAGAAGATAATTAAAATAATAAGTGGTTCAAGTTTTAAGAGTATTTATTACAAAAATAACTGCCCTATTTTCATACTTTTCTCAATGTATTTGTTTATAATTGGAGAAATAATATTAAGAAGCATAAACTTTTTCCAAAGATTCTTTTATTGATTTTAAGTAATACAATTAAAAAAAATTGTAAGCAAGATGATTATAGTTGGTTATCATTTCGTTGTAACTGTCAAGAAAATTATCACATGCAATTATACATTGTGTAATGAGGCAACAATTATATGGTGTGTAGAAGAATAAGTTAGAAAAATAAATAAGCGAGTGACATAAATAAAGATCATATAAAAGAGAGTAAAACAACATTAATATTCAAAATAAGTTTGAAAATTCAAGAAATTTTTTATAAACACACTATATTCTCATAATCACAATTTTAAAAAATAGTAAAATCATTTCCAAAATAATTTTGATGATTACAATAAAATGATACTATATTCTACCCATTCAACACGACAATTAGTGAAATGAAAATTATAGTATACCAGAGAAAATTTACAAATATTAAAACATAAATGACGATTGACAGTTTCATAATTCAAAATAAATGAGTATACTAGATAAAATCT